TGAGTGGAGAGGACTTGGACTGATGGTGTTCAATTATGCAATTATTAATTGCTCATTTATGATTATTTGTAAACAAGGCAAATAAGAAATATTAAGGTACAAAAATGTCCCATGGCGATTTCCCATGGGATCGCCATGGCAATTTCCCATGGGATCGCTATGGCGATTTCCCATGGGATCACCATGGTGATTTTCCATGGTGGTACATGGGGTTTGGACCCCATGTTCCCGTGTGACTTTTCCCATATGTATCACACAGGATTTTTCCCATGGAATGAACCCCATGACCACATGGGACTGTTTCCATGGAATGTTCACTTGGGGGTTTTCCCCATGGCTTGTTTCAGACTATATACCTTATTATATTTCCCAAGTACCTTTCCATAGCGGCCATCATGGGACTCCAAAGGTGATTGTCCCACTTACGGCAAACAGGGGAGTGTCAAAGCACTCCATGACAAAAGATTACATCCGGCTTCAATACCAATTTAAAAGTTGTACCATAAAATTACAGTACCCTAATTATTTTTGATAATAAATTGTTTTTAATAATAATAAATGAATTAAAATTATCCACCGTATTTTTATATGCCAAATCTCCACATAAAAATAGACTGCATTCTTCATTTGACTTAAATTATCAATAGCAAAATTAAAAAACAAAATTAGAACACTCATAATTGACACATTTCTTCAAAAAAGGTCTCATGGTGTTTCCATGGTGTTCACCCCCTCCCCCATGGTGTTAATCCCCATGGTGTTCCCATGGTGTTCATCCCCATGGTGTTTCCATGGTGTTCATCTCCATGGTGTTCATTGATCCCATGGTGTTTATCCCCATGGCATTTCCACATGCGCGCATATCCGTTGAGTAGAAAAGCATTTCCGTGGCGATGCCATTGGTCACCAATAATGTCCCATGGTGTCATGGTGATCACCCCGACATTTCATGGTCGTGCTTTCATGGTGGTTTGGAAACCTCATGGTGGTGCCATGGCGTTACAACAGCTGTCCATGGTGTTCCCATGGGACATCATGGCGTTACTTTGACTAGACATGGTGTTCAGATAGTGTTCAGCCACCATGGTGTTTTAAAAGACCACCATGGTATTTAAAGACCACATGGTGGTGCCATGGGTTTACAGTAGCTGCTCATGGTGTTCCCATGGGGCACCATTGCGTTTCTGTAGCTGTCCATGGTGTTTCCATGCTACAACATGGTGTTTTAAGAGATTGCCATGGTGTTTTAAGAGACCACCATGGTATTCGAAGAGACCACCATGAGACCACATAGTGGTACCATGGCGTTACAGTAGCTGCTCATGGTGTTCCCATGGGACAGCATGGCGTTTCTTTAGCTGTCCATAGTGTTCCCATGGGACACCATGGTGTTTTAAGAGATCTCCATGGTGTTTTAAGAGACCACCATGTGTATCCCTTTGATTCCCATGGGGTCCATGGTGATCCCATGTCTTCGCCATGGGGCATTTTTGTAAGGAAAGATATATACTATGAAACAAGCCATGGGAAAAACCCCATGGTGAAAATTCCATGGAAAAAGTCCTTTGTGGTACGTGGGGTTAATTCCATGGAAAAATCCCATGTGATACATGGGGTGTATTCCATGGGAAAAGTTTCATGGGAACTAGTCGTTTACATGACGTGTGATGTGGCAGGCTCAGGATGCCCAGCTGGTTGCTAATTCGATATGTATATCTGCATTCTTTTCAACCGATTATGCTAGTGTGCACGAACGCCCAGAGGTTTTGTGTTTTTTTCCCCTAACGTGTTCATGTCAGCAAGTCAAATTTATTCGAGTCAAGTCAAGTCACAAGTCATGATTTTTCTAGTCAAGTCAAGTCTCAAGTCATTTTTCCCTAAGTCAATTAAGTCAAGCCTCAAGTCAAAAAAATTGCGACTCGAGTCCGAGTCAGCGACTCGAGTCAAAAACACTGTGGAATGGAGGCAGGCGGGATGAATTTAGAGGGAAAGTATTGGAGCAATGATGATATAAATAGGGGGGAACTAGCAACGGCAATGGAAACCATAATATTTCGAACATATTATGCCAAATTGTGACGTCGAAAAATGCATATAATATATCAAAAAATCTTTCGCCGTCTGTTGGACGGGCTGTCTAGCTGTCTGATGTCTGTGTGTCACTTTTTTTGGAAAAGACCTACGAAGTTTGCTGAAACACAAAATGCAGGGTTAATGGAGAGTCTTCGTTATATCTTAGGCTATAGCTCAGTGGTTGAGTTGAGGTTTTTCTGTGCTTTGTTCCATTTTATTTTCTTTCAAACTTTGAATAGTTTAATATCACAACATTAATATTTACTTTCCAAAACGTATCGCCTTTACGCAAACTGTAACATTCATTGATGATGAAAAATGTGGCAAATTGCTTCACAACGCTTACCAGGCCCATTTGGGTCGACTTGCAAAATGAGGTCAAATTAAGCATTCAAGCAGCTCGGATGAAGTATAAAGATTTGCCAGTTATATGATTTACACCAAATCACTCCAATTAACAATAGAGGAATTCTTCACGGGTCATCAAACAAATCATGATGAGATTTACCCCCTCAGAGTCAGACCATTTCCTCAACGCCATCTTTGTGCACTGCATTGTGAGATTACAATGTCATGCAAGCACTTTTGAAAAAAATCTTGGTTTTATCACCAGAAACAACAATGGGGAAATGAGCACAATATCGGTTTCATACCGCAAACCTCGTCAATGCTGGTAGTAAAGGAAATGGTATTCCACAGTACGGGGATATCAGGCTATATACATGTATTTCATTTCCAGACACAATAATCGCTTTGAAAAGGTCTTTGAAAAAGACCAGCCAAGCACAATTCACTCACGCGATTGCAGGTTCAAATGATCCTCGCCAAAACGTAATGCATTGTACAAAGTGCAGCTATAGCCCTGGGTGTTTAAGCCGTTACAGCAGATCAGATATATTGGATATTTTTATGTTATTTCCGCATGCAGTAATCATGGCGGCCTGTACATGTTCGCTACAACGGTGTCGTTTTTGTGCGTTGGTGCTTCTGATTGTTGCGAACACTGGTAATTATAGTGTATTATTGATTTTGCCGTTCCTGTTAATTCCAACACAATTTAGCATAGGAGTTATTTTTACTCGGTAAAACAAAATATGGAAAGAAATATCAGGACGTGGATGTTCTGTTTGAATTATTGATTTCCAAACCACTTCATATAGGCCAATATTATATGCAGATGTTTGGCATGTTGATGCGAATCTACCTCATTCTCAATTATAGTATAATTATATTTCCAGACGGTTACCAGGTTGTATTCTAGACTGATAATAGGGACAATGATATTCTTCTGTTTTAAGACATGATCATAAAGTTAACAATAATTTATCCTTGCCAAGCACATTCATCCCCCGAAAACAGAAACTCAAGAAGATTAAATTTTACAATGATAACCAAGAAAGTACCAAAATTTGGATGGATTTGATTTGGCTTGCTCTACACTTTTTTCAGAGACTTGTTGATTTCAGCAACGGCAATGGAAACCATAATAGTGCGAAAATAGTATGCCGAATTGTGACGTCGAAAAATTATTCCTTTCGTGTGTGAAACTAAAGCACTGTCCCTGGATGTGCGAGGGAAACCTGCCGAACAGAGCTCAACTGCTCCGGAGGAAAACGACCTTAGTTTTGAGGCAGGGAAGGCTGTGGATGGAAACATTGCTATATTTTCAAAAACAGGTGAGTTCACATTGTAATAAAGCAATGTTTTGGTCGGGTCCATGACAAGTCTGTTCAAAAGTAAATCGCAAGTACAGTAAGAAGTTTCAGAGACAAAAACGATAGGAAGGGGTACTCAGGTTGCGGTTCGATTATAAAGCTTGTGACTTGACTTTAGACTGGGAAAAGTGTGATTGACTTCTAAAAACCAAATTGTGATGGTCTTGACGATACGACAGCACTCCACCCACCATGTCATTTCTATGTTCATTCTTTCATTTATATGTTTCTGCGTAGTTTCTCAAGTCGTGGCGCAGGCCAGAGGGCCGCATTTCAAGAGACAATCCATTTAACAACAATTAATTTAAAAAAACCCTCTAAATTCTATATAATACAAAAGATTAATTGAGTTTTTTCCCTGGTGGTAGCCCCGCAGGCTGCCCACCCCCGTTGCCCGGAACTGGCACAATGTATAACCTCTCTTTCATATCTGTATAGGCCAAGAGCACAATCCGTGGTGGAGATTGGACCTGGAGGCAGCCTACTGCTTGAGGAAAATTACGATCATGCACAGAATTGCCTCATCGGGTAAGATTCCGCTTCACCACCAATAAGATCTTTCTCGTGTCCAGTATTTTGAGATGATTTTGTTCTTGTTGAAATATTACTGTCATGCTGATCAGATGCTCTGATAGAACGTCAAACGTATGGATCTGATCAGAAGACAACCCTGACGAATCAACGGGTGTCTTTTATGATTAGGCTGATCACGTGTCGTGGTGTTCTTTTCCACCTGGTCGTCCTATAATCATGTATCACACAATTGCATATCAATTTTTACATTTGTGTACCGCATTTCATTCGGGGGGAATATATACAGAGCAAATACATTATTTGTGACACTCGGGATACCAGCCCTCTATACACATATATAAATAACTATTTAAATATATATTTAATTGTATATTTTGCGGTGATTCTGTGCACAGTTTGAAGCCCCGATCAGGCAAAATTCGACTTTTGAAATTATGTACAGTCTAAGTGCAAAAATGTGCGTGTTGTTACAATGCAGATGACCATTTGGACGGCGCCGAAGTACGTGCTGGTTTGAGTCCAGATCGTTTACCGACAGGACTAATAGGAATAGTTGGTAACAGTCCATCCACCCGCAGTAGGCTAGTTACTACATTGATAGCTGACCCTGTGGTCACTGCTCGGTATGTGAGGTTGGACCTTCGCGGTAACAATAAAATCCTTCAAATTGTTGAAGTTATGGTTGAAGAATTCGTGGATGAACAAACTCTCACCTCAACTGGTGAGTAATATTTTGTAAGTGTCATACAATTATGATTAGTAATAGAATAATTAATCAAAATACTAAATTTAATTGTAAAGATCAAACTTGGGTATCACTTCGTTGAACACGTCTTTGTAATGTAAGGGGGAAGAATGGGTGGTAAAATTTTGATGATTCTTTGAAGTCAATAAGTTATGCCTTTTTTGGTAGCAATTTCTGTGGATGGAAGCTGGACTTCTCAAAGCAGCACATTCCAAGACAGGGTTTCTGCTCGAGCAGTTGACAGAGCTTTCATGTACGATATATTGTCTCATTGCAGCACCACAGGTAAGGCCTCATTCACTTCGTAATGATTAAATACCAAAAAAGTCATAGATACTACGAAATAACCTTTGACCTGTGTGTTCAAACATTGCATCCGAGGTGGGTTTTTTTCCTGAAAAGGCTTACGTAGGCCTACTTTATGTACACCGTGAATACATTAAGTTACCCTTATTATAGGCTAAGTAATACAACAAGTTTCATCCGGACTTTCAAAACGAAAAGGAAGGAGGTGGTCCATTTTGTTCCTAAGATGGCGGATTGTCCAATATGGCGGATGGATTCTGCTGCAAAAAACGAGAGACTAAAATTACGAAAAAAGAGGCGTGGGGGGAAAATAGGAAGCGTTTATTGTATAACTGTCGTCTATTTTGAATGAAATTAATTATCAAGTACACTATATTGACTTAAAAACATAAGTCTACTTTGTTAACAGATGGCGTGCCATCATGGTGGAAACTGGACCTGATGTCTGCTCAATGTGTCGGAAAGGTGTCAGTCAAGAGCATCGATAATCATCAGCGTGAGTTGATTTTCCAACTACATTAACGGGAGATGACACAATACAAATTGGAAAAAAACCCAAGGAGGCCTGGGTGAAGCACTCTTTGTAAATGGTTTCATTACATTCTGTTAATAGATTTCGGAATGTATTTTAGCGATCGAAACACTTCCGAGAGTGCAATTTATTTACACACCTTTATAAAGTCTTGCTGACAGTGTTACTCAATTTTTTTTATTTGTTTTGTTATATAAGTACATATAAGACAATTGTTTGAGGACGCTGTTGTTCGAGCTGGTATGAGCAGTGTGCCTACTGGGAACGCAATGTGTGGAAGTCCAGTCTCCACATACCAAGCCGTAGCCAATAACTGGATGGAGTTTGACTGCAATCCACCTGATGGACTGACTGCTCGATACATCAGCGTCGATAATCCAGGACAACGGTTCATTATCCTGTGTGAAGTCTTAGTGTTTCCATGCAGGCCTAACCTTCCAGCAGGTAATTATGTTCTAACGAGCCTGGGGAAAAGTTTGATTTCAAACAAAGAAAATGTCATTAGTTCGCAAGAATGGCATTTCGTGAAAGCAAATCAGCTATCAAGATAATGGCAGTGAAACTATATTCTTTCACAACAGTACAGATAGCTCTTATATTAAACATTTAACCAGCCGTCGCTAATCTATTAAATGGTATGGTGCAATTACTGGAGCCGAGGTAATGATGTCTTTTGATCGCAATGCATGTTTCTGTCAATGCTATTGCTCATCTGTCCAGATGCGACAACTTGTATGGCAACTGATTATACATTTATTTTTTGTTCAAACAATCCGTTTGTTATTTGGTTCCAAATAAGCTTCTAATATGGCATATTGCAAACAAAATATTCAATTCTCAGTGGACTTTGCTTTCGTTGCTAATCCTGCGCTCATAAACTTGACTGGTGGCGACGATGTCGTCCTGACAGCATACAAAGGTCCCGATGACATACCTGCTGGTGTCACATTTGGCCGTCAGTTGGCAACAGGTGGAACGGATGGACTTCCGCCTGGATCAACCGAAGAAGACGAGCCGTCTTTGGGGTGTCAAGGGAGATCTCTACGGTTACCTGCGGCGGATGGGATTAACAGAGTTGGTGTCTTCTATTTTGAAGGAAGTAGAGGAAGCATCCACACCAGGATTCAGATCGTTATGCTGCCGAAAGGTGGTAAGATAACATTCCTGTTCGATTGAGATCACAGTCCAATTTAGTCTTGAAATAGACAGCAAGAGTAAACCAAGTTGAAGAACACCACATTTTTTTCTCAAGACATTCACCACTTTTAAATAATTAATCGGTTTGAATTCCGCCGTCTACTATGCAGAGGTTGTAAATTGACAAAAAAAAAAAAAAACACGCTCCTGAATACTATAGTTTCAAATTCTAGCGGCATCCTACTAGACCGACAATGGAGTGTTGGAAATATGAACACAAATTAAATACCTGTCCAACACCCAGTTGAAGGAGAGGTATAACCAAGTAACTTTAAAATATGTTACAGGTTGTCTCTATTTGTTTTAAACTCAGAAAATTATGTACAAATACGTCCAGTTCTGCGAACGCAGATAGCAAATGTCGGAGACGCAGTTCGACTGGAGATGCAAAATGTGAATGCCCCAAACACCAACTACAGATGGCGGTATAATGGTGGTGACATTATCACATCTTGGAATGACCAGCTCAGTGTGTCTATTGGCGATGTTGCTGTGAGTGATGGAGGAGTCTACAGCTGCTTCGTATCTGACCAGGAGATTCGACAACTGCATGGCATCATGAGACTCATTGTGCGAGGTATATATTTGTAAAACGAGTGTATCACGAAGTATTCGTTTTGGAAACCTTGTTTAAATCTTTATATTTTCTCATTTTGAATGGATTATAATGTTTTTACTAGGTTTGCTTCAAACACATGATGTAAAGTTCTTGTTTACAATATCCATTTTATTATATGTCAATGAACATGCAAAAAGCACGCAAGAAAATAATAGCAGCAAATGCATTTAACTGCCTTGAGAAATGGGGATTACAAAAGATGACTTAGGATTATGCTCCATTTTGAAATGAGATCACAAGCAAATGTCCTTGTCGACACTTAGGTTGTTCTGATGGAAGGTGGGGGCCACCATCCTGCCTGAACCTTTGTCGTCGGTGCTACAATGGAGGCATATGTGATGACAACACAGGAATCTGTGTCTGTGCTCCGGGTTTCAGTGGAGAAAACTGCGAACAAGGTGCTGCTTTACAATACATTCAATGTTTTGTTTTGTTTAATTAACAGCATAAACTATAGCTTCAGAGATAGCGCCCTACAACATCGAGGTAGCGATTATGTGACTTCGTGGAATGTCTTTATTGGCTGAGCTAGGTAGCGAAACTCTGTTAATCTGGGGCATACAGAAGGAATAAGCTATATGACATACCATTTCAAGCGTGGCGCATCAGTAAATTTCCGAAGCAACAACCAGGAAAAGAAACTCAATTAATCATTAATTATATCGACTGAGCTAATTTGGGTATCGTCAGGTTCACATTTCGTTACTTCGAACAAGTGGCCTCGTTCACGCTGTATACAGATATAATTATCACAGTGACGTTTTTTTATTTCACGTTATGCATACAGTTCATGGCCGTAATGTTTTTGGCCAAACAGCCCGTCATCGTTGCTCCAATGGGCCTACCACCGATCCACACGATGATGCTTGCCGGGGTCGTTTGTTTTGTCTTCCTGATCCTTACGGATGCTCGTGTGCTACAGGATTTGAAGGACTAGATTGCATGCAAGGTGAACAAGAATTTCTCTTTCGTGATGGTGGCCAGGGTGCGGTATTTGCAGCACACATCGTCCATGTATCATGATTATTCAGCTAGTTCGATGTTTATTCATAAGAAAATAACAATGACGTCACGACTAGCTGTCAGTGATGCATGTACATTTAAGCATTTCAAAGAACGGTATTTGTCGAGCTGCCTAGTAGTTAGTGGAATGAACTATATGGCAAGATATGTGGTTCGAACCCGTGTCTATTTTCATCAAATATATTTTTGTAGGTTGGGATAAGTTTAATTGAAGGGGAAACACTACGAAAGCTCTTCCCATAAAATGTGGCCAATTTAATGGAATGCCTCCGTAAATAAAGGCCGCACTTGGGACATGTACCTACAAATGTAGAACTTTGTCAAGTTTTGATTGTCATATTTAGACTGTCTTTGTAGTTTATTTGTGCTTAAGAAGCTCACTCGCCCTCTTATAGCGATATAAAAGCAGTTCGGCATATTTCAGACGCCTATGTGTGTGTCATTACCAGGTTCGCCTGCACACGTTTGCGTATCTTAATTCGAACACGAAATTTATTCCATCCACACAGCGTGATAAATAGTCATGTTAGGGTGCGTGTTGTGATTTTGTTGAAATACGATGTATGCTGCAGAAAAAACACGCGGACAGGGTGGATTTAGAATCATTTGTGGATTGGGTCTGTATTATGTGTACCAGTGAAAAAGCATTACATTCACTGTGTGGACTTCCGAACAAATGATGTCCACATATTAAACCAGTTTTCAGATACGTAAGTTGTGTGGACTTGCCAACGTCAACACAAGGTTCCCCCTCTCTCTGGAAAAAAAGTTTAGAGGCATTTTGGAGTTAGGTTTATCCGTCGCAAAACCACAGGTTTTTCTTAACTACACGAAAACAAAGGAATGTCCACACTAGGTATGTAACGTAAACATGTGTGTGATGATCTTAAATAGTGCAAATATTCATATGAAAATCCACAGAAGTTGGATGTTTCAGTGTGGTTTTTTGGGGTTTTTTCAGTGCTTCATTTAAGAAATGTCCTTGAATTTTTTTAAATTATCAGACTGCTCAGAGGGGACGTATGGAGCTGACTGTAGGCAGACGTGTCACTGTGCACATGGAGACACATGCAGTAAGGATACAGGGGAATGTAGCAGTGACGTTTGTGACTCTTCATACTTCGGAATCAACTGTCAGTGCACACGTAAGATATAACAAACACATCAATGCTCTTCCATGGGGACCAGCTAAGAGAAGACAATGTAAAGAAATTACAGTTTTAGCAGAGGGAGGAAAACCCAAGAAGAACATTCTGAGGGAAACCCACGGAATCAGGTAGGGACTGAAAACCATGCAATACACTTATTGGCCCAGGCAGGTATTAAACCAATGCACACCTATGTTCTGACACAACTATGTTCCGACACACGTTTAACTATGTTAGGATACACCTATGTGCCGACAGCCCTATGTTCTGACTGCACATATTCAAATTCCTATCCCTAACCCTAACCCTACCCTAACCTTAACCGGGAGTAACACAATCTTATGTGCGGGGTGTCGGAACATATGGGTTTCGGAACATAGGGGTGTAGGCAAGGGCGGATCCAGAACACAATTTCGGGGGGGGGGCCAAAAAAAAATTTGGTCCCCCCCAAAAAGTGGGTCAAAAAATACGGCGTGGGGTTCGGGGGGCCCGCTTAAGGGCCCCGAAAAAAAAATGGATTCTAGATGCTCTGTGGTGCGATCTGAGGCAATTGCTGACCACTTTAACCAATGTTTTTTTTGGAGGAAAAGATGGTGGTGTACTCATTGCCTGCCTTTATTGCGAGGTCACATAAAAAAATTAAAAAAATTGGTTTCGTTTGGGGGGGGGGGCATGGCCCCCTTTGGCCCCCCCCCCCTGGATCCGCCCTTGGGTGTAGGAACATACAGCAGTCACCATCGAACCCAGGGTGAGGTCACAGCGTTGGAAGGCGAGGAAGTACCGCTACGCCTACCTGACTCCCCTGACAGGTACTTAAGACACAGACCTCGTGGCAGAACAATTATGGATTTCCCCCGTTCGTGTTTGTTTCAGGTCGTCCAGTGGATGTGACACCGACCTCCATCTCACAGCGCAGCCTCAAATTTTCTTGGCGGAGTCCACTTTGTCCAAACTTTGGCACGATCACCGGGTTCGTCTATACACTGACCGACGTTAAATCTGGACCTTTGCCGCCAGTTTTCAATACAACAGAGAAATCTGTTACCATCGATGGTTTGATGCCTCACACGGTGTATAGCTTTCAAGTTGCAGCCATCACCGCAGAAGTAGGAAGTGGAACGTACAGTGAACCTTTAATTGTAACCACAATGGAGGCAGGTAGGCCTACGACTTACTAAAAAGAAATGTACTAAGTTAAGTTCTTATTTTAAGAATTCCAACATGGTACAAATTCCTTTTTTTTCTTCACAGAGCCATCAGCGCCCTCACATGTCAACATTCAGAACAGTGATGACGTTTCAATCACCATCACGTGGTCACCACCCAACTCACCGAATGGTATCATCACCAACTATGACATTGCTTACTGGAAGTCGGTTGACGCCGGGATACAAACTCTGAGAAATAACGTTGGTGTGTCGCCGCTCGTGTATCTCGTCGATGGTCTGGAAATGTCCACTATGTACCAATTACAAGTATGTGACATTTTAACCCACGATTGTGAGGACTGAGACAAATAAATGACACACTTAATTTTTAAAACACAAAGCCGCAGCAATACTTTAAGTAACTTTGAAATCACTATAGACATACATCGCCGAAAAAAGCTGCTATAACAATGACAAATGTCGTGGTTCTAATCATTTCAGGTTCGGGCCAAGACTTCTGCAGGTGCAGGTCCATGGAGCGACACAGTCACTGCATCCACGCAAAATGGTATTTCTCCTATTGTTATTGATGATAAAGGTCTGTACATACATTTTTCAAAGATCACAAAGTCAAAGAATCACAAAAAAAAATACATTTCGAATAACACAAACCAGCAGCAGAGGAAGGGTCGCGGGAGAAATAACTGTTAAACGAAAGACATGGAATGTCATGTACAGGGCGTCCTGAAAAAAAAGATTGCTTTTGTAAATCCAAAGATGCCAAGAAACCCATTTTGTGCCACTTTTTGTGAAGCAGTAAAAATCAGTATAGTCCTAGTCTAAAACCAAATCGCTTTACTGTTAGTGATTTTAACATTTTTAAGCAGAGTGTGCAATATTTATTTATATTTAATTGCACTCTTTCATTGAAGTTTTAAAAGAAGTGAACCTGTCTGTACTATTAAATTGTTCCAACATAAGAACAAAACCCTATATTGTCGTGTGAATGAAATGTTTGTCTTACACACATAGGGATAATCTTATCAAAAGAGCCTTACTGGCATTGTCTGATCTTTGAAGCACTCGCTTCCTAAAAGTGGCACTGAATGGTTTTTTTTTTTTTTTTGGCTTTGCGGTTATTCAAACATATCTCTAGATCTACAAAACCACTCTTAATTAAACGAACGGTTTTCTCAAGCGAAATCTGTAACCTTGAAGATCGTTTAAACATTTGCAGTAAATTCCGGTTATAAATTGGCGAATTTTAGGACACCCTGTATGCCTACAGTCTCTGTCAGATACATGACAGTGTTCTAATTTTCTATACGTGGCTACTTTTTTATGTGTAGTTACTGAACACTCCATGAAAGTTTTGAAAATTAGAATTTTGTATTGTGACAAAAGAGTCATTAAAAAATTAACCATTGTACTTCCATTGTACCTGTAACAATTAGCAGGTACAACCTATGTACAGAACAATGTACCGAAAGTAGCAGCTATCGTTCTCGGGGTCCTGTTAGCTATTGCTATTGCTGTCATCTTCATCGGCTGTGTGGTATGGAGGAAACGAGACCGAGGCCGCAACAGTGCTCCGACTACACCGAGGCTGAACGTCACTGAAAAACTCGTAAGTCTTTGTTTTAGTCCAAAAAAAAAGTTGTTAGTGTGTTTGGAAGTCATTTTGGTACGAGGAAAATATACCGAAAGCTCTTCAGAATTCATGAATAACAATATGAAAACTAAGTTTCGAAAGGTAAACAATCGCAACTCATATTCCTGGTGTGGAATGTTAACCCGAATGTCTTCTCTTCACTACTATTTAGTCGTTAAATTTTTTTGTCCTGGTCAAATTAGGAGCTTCCTGTTGTGATAAATCCTAGCATGCATGGCATTGAGTCTCCGATCTCAGACGATATTGAAAGGGACATCTACGAAGACGTTGGTTTACCAGCCTGGGCTAAGGGACTGGAAATCCAATGGCAGAATCTCACGATTGAGGATAAGGTTCTTGGCAAGGGAAACTTTGGGGAAGTGAGAGCAGGCCGTATAGAAATCAAAGGAGAAGTGTACAAAGTAGCCATCAAAACTCTCAAAGGTAAAACAATTGATTTCAGGCCGATAACACCGTCAAATTACTTGGTTGTATTCGTTGATTATTGGGATCCTGTCGTATTTGATTTGATTGAAGAACATTGTTTGTTGGAATTAAACAGACAGTGGGAATCAACATTTTCTTTTCTTTTTCTCCTTATAGGTGCGACAACGACTGCTTCCGAGGACTTCCTGGTCGAGTTCAAGACAATGGTTGGAATCAAGCCACACCCGAACGTAGTTGGTCTAATGGGCGCGTGTATGTACGAAGGTATACCTATCTAATCAATCACTCTCTGGATACAAAAACTGTGAATATTATTCAGCAATAAAGAAATATTTTTGAATGGACTCTAATCGGTAGGAAGGATTGGAGCCTATTGGCTAACCACACATTAAGAAGAAGATTTACTTACATGCTAACATTTTAAGCTTTTCATGCAACCGTGGTTTCAGACGCCATAAACCCTATAGTTCTTGCACGCGGAGTATGTTATGCACCTTGCAATTTTTTGAGGTCTGGCAAGTGATTTCTTGTTTTTTATTCCAGCCATTTTGTACGTTGCTCTTGAATATCTCCCCAACGGCAACCTGCGTGACTACCTGAGGAGTACTCGCCCCCAGCAGCAGGTGGCAATGAAGTTGGATGATGGTGTATCACCGTTGACTTCCTTCAACTTACTGACATTTGCAGTAGATGTAGCCAGAGGAATGGATCACCTCTCTGACACTGGTGTACGGACTCGTTATTGAATTGAAATAGGTCCCTATTTAAATTTGTTTGGTTTTGGTGTTGCAAGTTATTTTGTAAAGCGTCCAGCTATTCGTACAGGTTGAAAAAAAAAATATTTATATATATCATGGGCTCCGTCGCCCAGTGGCTATACGTAACATAATTATGTGTGGTGTTATTGGATTTAAAATCCCGACGCTGTGTTCTTGAGCAAGATACTTTACTTTTTCTGCCTTTCTCCACCAAGTAGTATAAATGGCTACCACTAAGGGTGCAAAGCAGATTGCGGTGATCTCTTACTGCTGCGTACAACTGATCTAATGGTATAATCCATATAATTAGAGCTTTAATGCTTTAATTTGTTTTAGGCGCTGTAAAGTCACAGCATTCCTAATGTAAATGGCGAATGACTGATTATTATCGTCAACAATAAATATATATTATAACATAGATAATTCACCGTGACTTGGCTGCAAGGAACATACTTCTCGGAGAAGACTTGACTGCCAAGATTTCTGATTTTGGCCTATCACGGGGAGAGGACATCTACGTTCAGAAATCGCAGGTAAAGCTGTCACTTGCTCAAACGTAATACTGTCAATAGAATAGTTAATGAAGTGCACAGGTGCAGAAATAAAACAGGTGAAATGTTAACACTGATCTTCTTGTGAAGTTCACTCTTTAAACACAGTTTACAATAGCAGTCGAGAAGCACCAAAACCCACACAATAAATACTGCACATGTGGAGTAAGATTTTGTGCAGTTTGTGAAGATTTATGAATCTCAATGTTTGTTTATTTTTTGAATTGCAAATTTTATTTAAGTTTCTTTGTTTTGTTATTGTTATTTTTTTGGCAACTGTACTTTCTTAGACACGTGTTCCTTCTCGCTGGTTGGCAATCGAGTCTTTGACCCGCCGGGTGTACAAGTCTAAGAGTGATGTGTAAGTATCATCAAAACATTAGGAGACTTTGTGATCATTAGACATTCCAGCAAATTCCAAGTAAATTTGTTTCCTTCCAAGTGAGAATTATGATTAAAATGTTCATGACTGAGTCTTTTTGGTGATCTTGTTCCAGATGGTCATTCGGGATTGTACTGTGGGAGATAGCTACATTTGGTGAGTAACCACATTTGTTACATTCTAGATCTTTATATTCCAGGAGGGAATGTGAAGATAATTTGAATCCTAAGATAACTTGGCTGTGTGTTAAATTCGTGATTGGTTATTAATTAGAGGTAGTTAATATTATCAGAAAAACTGTGATATAGTGTTGAAATCGCCATTTTTAATTTGACCTTCTCTTTTTAATTCACTCACTTTTTTAAGTTTCACAAAACCATTATATTCTCATCATAGCCTTGTTCCATAAGTAAAGACCAAGGCAACTTCAGAGTTCTGATACTGGTATTGTTGTATTGAAACTTGAAGATGTTATTGTTTGACGGATGATATATGGTATTAATTGGTTATTACAGGTGCGACGCCCTATCCAGGAATTCAGAGCTTGTCGTTGGCCAAACGATTGCAGGAAGGTTACCGAATGCCCAAGCCGGAAAACTGTGCCGATGAAATGTAATTAAGCAAGAATATAACCTTTTCTAGGGAAGGCGTCACATTTTATAAAAATCAAAAAATCTGATTTCGTTGTCTCTTTAGCCTAGTCAAACTTCGGTGAAACCAAAAACAAAGCAAATACAGTTTTGGCGTCGCACGAGGAATGTATTAGTTTTACTTGTAATGACATCAATGCAGTGCCAACCTGAATCGTCAGTTTTTGGAAAATTGTGCATGCCACAAACAGAGTCTATAAAATCGTTAAGGTTTCTATTGATTAAAACAAGTGTGCTTCAAAGTGACAAGGAATTTCACCTCTTACTACTGCACCTCCACAACACCCCCCAGTAAGTTAGCTTTGTTGCACTTTTACTTTCTCTAGCTACGATCTGATGATGAAATGTTGGCAGCTAGTACCAAGCCATCGCCCAAGCTTCAAAGAAATCACGATGACGCTCCAGAAAATGAATGAACCATCAGATGAGAACGTATGTGTACCGTGGTTTTCCCAAACGTTTTTCCCAAACGTTTTTTTTTCTTATTTGTTTTTCACAAACGTTTATTACATCATCTTAAAGAAGTGTATGATTTGTTTGCCTGTTGAGTTTTCGCTTACTTTACGAGGGTCTTTAAGCCATTTACAAAATCGTCTTTAATTGGCTCAAGAAATATATTATTCAAATATTAATTTTGAAATTCAGTACATTTTAAAAATATTTTTAATATAAAATCTGTAAGTTATACAAATCCACATTTGGTTAACTTTTCAGATCTACATGGCAACTCATTTCTACGTGAATCACGTGATCAAGCCCGAGTTTGACGATAACTAGGAAGACGGTACAAGACTGAAGGCGAAGCATCTTAAAGGAAAAAAATTCCTCACGAGATATCTTGGAGATGCGACTCAAATATCATTGACTGATTATTCTGATTTTTTTTTTCTTTTGTGGGAGGCGTTTTTTTGTGTTTTTTTTAATCATTTAAAATTAATTTACTATGGAACTCAGCCAGATGTTTCTCTATTCAACTCAATTCAATTCAATTCAACATGGTTTATCAACAAACCACGAATAGCAGACACAGCTGAATTGCACGTGATTTACATTAAAAAAGTACATTTTTAAAAGGTAAAAGGCCTACCGTGTTTGTATATAATAAAAATATGACAGACAATACTAATATTTTTTTTTTTTATTACTTTTTTTAAATTCTTTTTTATTCCGCTTTACATTACAACAAAATACACACCTGTATTATTCTATATTAAATATGATCTAATAGCTTTAAGAAAGGGGCACTTACATTCCATCAAAACACAATGATTTTTACAAAACAATGTATATCTATATATTTATAAATATAACTTTGAGCTCATTTGAAAACAGTTGACATTCTTTGCGATAATCAAACCTGTATTATTCTATAATAAATATGACATTTAACGAAACCTTCATATAACGACACGTACATTCCGTTCCAAAAGTGGCTTTAAAATGTATCCAACAGGAAAACGCAATTAACATAACTTTTAACAAAATAATACATGTGTAGTTTATAGATATGTTACGCTCTGGTTGCACTCCGCGGTCGATGTCCAGGTTGTGGGAGGCGCTTTGTAATTGACCCAATTGCTGTGCACTTGATACCTTTGATGTTTCATATAAAAGTGTGTTCTGAAATACCTGAAAGCAAGACTTAATTTTATTTCATTTGATCGTGTATATCTTTAATTTTTTTTTTGCTGTCATTGGATAAAAAAACAGAAACCCAGATGCCACACTATATGACATTAATTTTTATAGCACATGCCGTGGTGATTTGGTTGGCTATGTTAGCTGTATATTCATATTGATTATGGATGGTAAAGCAGTTGGATGCAGTGAACAAATGTTTGAAATGTAATCGGAATATTTTAAGTCACTATATTGCAGTTTTTATGAATTAATTTGGCTACACCTTTAATTAATAATACATTCATGTGTGTTTGAATTATATAATGTTATATTACTTGAAACTGCTGTGGTTTTCTTTTATTTAGATTACATGGTACTATCTAATAAAATTTGTTAGTCATTATCCATTTATTATTAAGTTTTGAATCTTTTTATAAATCGGACCACATCAAAGAAATGTTGTCTGCATAAACGTATACTCATATCAACATATCTCACGTATTATCCACGAAGTGTAATTACATTTATTAATCAGTATCATTAACTGTTGAGAATAATTGTAATATAACAATTTAGTGATGTGAAAGATTAGGTAAGTTGGACATTATATACACAGTAACTGAGCTTTCTAAATTCTGAGCTTTGTGACTATACATGTGTTTAAGATTTGTTAGCTTGTTCCAGCAAAGTCGCTACAAATAAATATAAATGATTTCATTAAATATCCTAAGTCCGGAGAAGATTTCTTTAGTCGGAGAAAACCAAAAAAACAGAAGCAGGAACTGTTTTTTTTTCTACATTCAGCGTCTGCATGTACAACTTGCGAAGTGCAACAAAAGGTTGAACTTGTGACCCAGAACCCTTCTGTGCATAGTAATATACACACTTCTAATGACACATGGGGTGCGTTCGAGCGTGCTACTCGTTATATCATGAGTATACTCTTGAGCGCACGAACGGCGGGAGTATGACCCGCGGGTTAGCAAGAGTAGCTCTCCGTCATACCGGAAGTATACTCTAGCACCGAGAGTAATGCGCACCCAACATTTTCCTGCACTCGGGAGCAGCCAGAGTAACACGCTCGAACGCACCCAAAAGCAGGTGAAAAGGGGCCAATGAACTGCGCGGAGCAGGCATTATTCATAGTCTATGTAAATAGACCCTGGCCCTGGCGAAGCCGGCAATTATGAATTATGATACGTCAACAGATTCGGCGATTAATCATGCAACTAGACTGCGTATATGACCACGAGAACTTGACAAATCAGCGGGCGCCAAGCTTCTGTACGCGCGTCACGTCACGCCCACGATGAGAAGCATTTGTGTACAATTTGTTGCATTACAAAAACGTGGCATTGAAATTGACCAATCGAAATCTTAGTCCTGATTTCGGAATGAATTGACGTCACGCATGCTTAGATATATCAGACGTTTTACCGGACATGGGCTGAGTGGAGAACGGGTATTACTCATACTACATTATTCACGCGTTGGTTCACCAACTCTAAGCAAAATTTTACTTGATATTCCTGTGCTTCCATGGAAATAGTCAACTTGGGTCAAATGTTTTCATTTACAAATTGTGAGAAATGTACACGTGAATAATTCAATATTTATACATTAAATGAAATGTTAGGAATTATTTCAAATATTTTGAGCTTGAGAATTTGAGAAAAATTGTAAAGTCATGGAGATATTACAGATTTAAATCGATCTCATTTTGAATTTTTAATGATTCTTTAGAAAAATAAAACCTGTGGATTTTACCTCATTTTGTCGAAGATATATTTTTCCCAATAACAAGGTATATGTTTATTCATAGTCGATGATGTAGTCTGGGTGTCAACTGGGCAATTTCAGCCGATTGTGTTAAATTCGAGTGTACATTGTGGGCTAGTTTTTTTTCACCCCCGTATTATGAGTGTACATTTTTTCAGTAGTATTGAGCACTCACATACAATTGTGTATCACTTTCAATCTTGGATCTCCTACTGTCCCTCTTTTCTTCGTACTTCCCTGAGCTCCTCTGCCATAAAATCCCGACACTGGTCTTTATTTGAATTTATCTCGTGGGCTCCAACTGATAACCCTCTGCAGTCTTCCCAGCTTAAAAAAATTCCGGCATTCAATCGGCGAGGTAGTGTTCACACTTGATACGACGAGACTGGCTTCGGCTTCTTTCTTTCTGGTTCCTCCAAAAGAGTCGGTGATTTCATTTGCGCTGGCCATTTCTCTCTTGGGAGTCAAAGAAAGGACGGCCCGTGACACACTACAAACTCATCTCTGCAGCTGTCAGACAATGGCTTAGATCATTAGCAGGGTCGGCTCCATTAAAGACATGATTCCACGGAAGTGGAAGCCAAGTAGATTGTAGCTCTGCAACATGCACCCTGGCCCTAAAGGCTTGAGCTGTATTGATTCAGACTGTATCCGGTGAAGAACAATGCGTGCATCCGTCCACGGATAAACATGAGGTTCTTCCTGAAGCTCAGTGTGAAGAATTTGGCTAAACATATGGCGATGAGTGCAGCAATTAATTCATGTCACGGGATCGTGGTCTGACAAAGAGGACCAACCATAGCCTTTGCCGCAACGAGACAAAAACATGGACCACGGAGAGTGTTCCAAAGCATGTAGGCGACAGTGCCATGGGCGAGGAGCTCGCATCTGCAAAACCAAACAATCAACTTGGGACTTCGGATGCAAAGCGAAATTGCTTAGTGACTGGCGGTGCTGCAAAACAATGAATTGCAGGGTGTTTCAACTGATAATGTAGTAACTAACGGATAATGTAGTAACCAACGGATAATGTATCACCAACCGAAAATGTCACACAAATTGACCGATACTGTATCACTAATCGATAATGCAACAGAAATTGACCGATAGTGTAGTAAAAATGTACTACATTATCAGTCGATTGTTGTTACATTATCGGTCTTAACCGATAATGTAACAAATATTGACCGATAGTGTAGTAACATTTACTACACTATCGGTCAATTTCTGTTACATTATCGGTTAGTGATACGCAGTATCGGTCAATTTGTGTGACATTTGTAGTAACCAACGGATAATGTATCACCAACCGATAATGTCACACAAATTGACCGATACTGTATCACTAATCGATAATGCAACAGAAATTGACCGATAGTGTAGTAAAAATGTACTACATTATCAGTCGATTGTTGTTACATTATCGGTCTTAACCGATAATGTAACAAATATTGACTGATAGTGTAGTAACATTTACTATACTATCGATCAATTTCTGTTACATTATCGGTTAGTGATACAGTATCGGTCAATTTGTGTGACATTATCGGTAGGTGATACATTATCCGTTGGTTACTACATTATCCGTTAGTTACTACATTATCAGTTGTAACACAGGGGATTTGTGTAGTGTTTGGATTGAGTGGATCTCGTGTACGTTGGGTAAGATAAGAGATCGGAAGGCAGATAGCTATAGGCAGATACTGTTACCGTTTCGGTAACGTTGTGTCGAGGTATAGTCTGTGTGATCTATTGTATTTGACCCTAGAGGTTTACCAAGAGCTCTCATACCTTACCAGTCCATGAGTTGGTTGAGATCAATGGAAATAAACCAACCTGGGTCCTACTGTAGCTGATTATTAAGGTTTACATTTAAGAGGTTTAGTAGGGAAAATAACCCTCCACTGTGAGGTTTACTTATTGGCATTACTGAAAGAGGTTTACTAATTTGCATAAAGTTGTTGAAGTAACCCTCAGTTTTGGTACAAACCTCATGTAAGAGATAACTTGTTTATTGATATGTCATATAGCAAACCTCATTATTTGAATCTCATTCATTATTGTACCCATATACTGAGAGGATTTGAGAACCAGTAATAAACCAGTTGTGAGTTGTTTGTTTCTAGCTCGGTTGTGTGTTGCTCTTATTTACCATAAAGTGGGATAGAAATGGTTGATCGATAGTAATCTGCCTGTAGTACACATGCAGTTCAGCTGCAGCTGCAATTCAAAACAATTAAAAAACATGATTCAGCAACCTTTGATTTGAAATTGAGATCCTAGAATGCTGTTTTTCTCCGAATATACAGCTGAAGCTGAGCTAAAACTTCATCAGGTTAGTTGTTCAGTATCCTTCATTAGATTTGGAGCACTTTTGTTGCTTCAAACGATCAAAATGCACAAATTACAAATGATGGACTATATCTTTAAACACTTTTTGGATTGAAAAAAATTCAAATGTTAACGACTCACTGGATTATTAA